ATAAGGTTCAATAATCAAATTTCACGTGTTTTGAATTTTTGCAGGTGTCGAACGAGTAAAAGGAAGTAGTCGCGGATATGCTTTCTTCATGGAATCAGCTCCCATTAAATATCAAGTTCACCGTGAATGCAATCTGACACAAGTTGGAGGCTTGTTAGACTCAAAAGAGTAAGAATAGCTGATTAATTCATGCAAATGCGTGGATATTGTTTTATCAAGTCATGCTTTTGCGGCTTTATTTTGTGGTATATTTTCTTTCATGTCTCTCTCTCTCTCTCTCTCTCTCTCTCTCTCTGTCTCTCTCTCTCTCTCTCTCTCTCTCTCTCTCTCTTCCTCCTGACATAGGTATGGTATCGGAATGCCACTTAGTAAGTTGAAGATTCAGTTTTGAGCAATGCACTTCCAAGTTTTCTTAAAATGATTTTTTTTTCTAATAATCTTCTCATAGATTCACCATATCGTACCGCAATTAGTCAAGCAATTTTAAATTTACAAGAAGAAGGAACAATTCAAGAACTTATAACGAAATGGTGGGAAACTAAAGATAAGGATGAAAATGGCAATGAAATCGATTGTGAAGCTGATGATTCAGAGCAATCTGATACACCCGAGCTTGGTATGTTTTGATTGATTCCATCGCATATATCAAATTTGATTCCCAAAACTTTTTTGAAATGAATTATCTAGGTATGGACAACGTGGGCGGGGTATTCTTGGTTTTGGCTATTGGTATACTTCTATCTATTTTGGTCGGTATTCTAGAGTTCATTTGGTCCATCCGACGCACCTCGATTGATGAACGGGTAATGATAGTCCTTCATTGAGACACATTTTTCGACTTCTAACTAATTTTGCTTTAAAAACAATTTATTAGTAAAATTCGAATCTGAGTTTTGAACTGACAAATTCCAAAATTTTTTTGACTTATTTCCCTTTCCAGATTACTCCATATGAGTCATTCAAGAAGGAGTTCAAATTCGCCGTGAGTGTATGGGAAAATCGTAAGCCAGTTGCGCGTATGTCAAGTGCTGGCAGTTCAATACGATCAAACAGCTCAAATGGAGGCGATGAAATGCAAATGGGTCCGACCAAAAATGCAAAACAAAACGGAGTCAATGGCTATTGACTTGGAAGTTATAAATGAAATTCGATCAAATGTAGAATAGTTTGGATTTATTTCCCGTAAATTGCTTAGGTTTATTCTGCTTTGCATTGCATCGATTCAATTATTTTACATTGCTTTTATTTGATTCATTTTCTGATTTTCTTTATGGAAATTTCCGGGACTGTATCTTCCGGGACTGTATCATTATCTATGAGTGCTTTGATGATTTCAATGATTCTAGGTTCATCCTCTCCTCTCATAAAGGGAATGTTGTTGATCAAGTGGGTAACACTGCCTTTTCCATTAACGAATTCCCGGATCAAATCTCTATTTTCTGTTACTGATCCTTGATATTTGTTACGAGCATTGTTGATGTCATATTGATTTACTCCCTTCAAAAAAAATCTCATTGTGCTACGATCGTTGTTTTAGTAAATAATACACTCGAGCCAGTGCCATATTCATCTTTATTTTGGATCTGAGAGTATTGAATAAGCATTATGAATAATGTTGAATTTTTCCATTGCATTGACCTTTTCATTATCTGCGACCCGGTCTGGGTGATAGATACGAGCGAGTCGATAGAAACCTTTTTTCACTGCAATGAACACGCATTTATTATTAAAAAAATTCTAAGTGTAAATATGCACTGATTTTACCATCTTGAATTTGTGCGTCACTTTTTAACTGGAGGATTTCGTATAAATTTTTGGGTCCAAAATATTTTTCCGAATTCATGATGAACCGAATCACAAATAACATGCAGTCACAATTTGACAGTTGACATTTATCAACGCTGAATTGATGGAAATATTCAATTCAGCAATGCAATATTACCGAGCTATGACTGTCACAACACAATCGTAAACAACACAAATTTTCCTGAGTCAAATGTATGCAATGAAACTACAAAGCTGAATAAAGTAGAAATTTGGAAATAATGATGTAAATAAATATGTTTTAGCACAATATTTTATTTGATTTTGTTGGAATTTGTTAATAGCGCAGAAATAATTGTACACGAAAATCAAAGACAAATGGTTTATGGTTTTATAATAAATTCTCTCTTTTATGGAGCGTATGTATATTTTAATGTTTAGTAAACATTGTTTACTGATTGACTGAATGTTCTAGAGTGAGTCTGACATTTATGAACTGTATGAATGTGACATAATGCATAGTGTATATGAGTGTTGCCATATTTTGTTTTTGACATTGCAAATTTCAACACTTCCACTCATTGTTACAAAACAAAATTTACGTTAAATATTTGTAGCAATTTCGTTCGAATAATATGCTAGGGTCGAACATGTTCGGATTTTATTGAATCAAAATATTGGAAAATTTCTGTTTTATGCAAAACTATTATACAAATCATTCATCTAAATAATTTAAAGAAAGTTCACAAGACCATTTCGTGCCAGAATTTTTTTCTTTTTTATGTGATTCGTTTCGGATTGTAAGTATTTCTTTACGTGTGTGTTCATTGGAATTTCAAACTAATTGAAGACCTGTCTATATTTCTATGGAAAGTGTTACTGAGTATGGATATGATTTTGCATGAGATTCGCTTGTAATTTTTTAAGGGAATGCGTAGATTTGTATCAATATCATCGTATCCTACCTATACCTTATTGAGTGATGTAAAGTAAATGTGATGCCGTATATCCTTGCATCAACTAACACTGTAGCTATGGAACAAAGCAACGCAACCATGGCATGTGAGCCTGAGCGTAACGCAAAGGTATGAGTCATGTCGTTTGATTATTCTCATTCTAATTTACATCATGTAAGCAACGGTTGATCTGTGGTCAACTTTGGGTCGACTTTGAAACGGAATGTGTTTTGTGCATGCAGCGAAGATGTGAAAATTTTTAAATTTGAACAGCCACGTGCCATAATAACACCACTCAACCCTTCAAGAGAGAAAAATACTTACTTTTTATATTTTTACATTGAATTTGTAGTTTCAAGAAGGTGATGAAAGAATAAATATTAACATCTGATATTTTCAATGCAAAACATTCGATGTGAAACGCGAAATTAAACACACGTGCACAGGTGGAATTGTAATTCCATCAATTGTTCTGACATTGTTATCTTGAAAAATGTGTGCGATAATATTTTGTGGGCTTTAATTAGAATCGTAATTGTACGTGGATTCAATCATACAGTGTGTTTCACACCGACGTGGCCACACTTGAAAAGTATATAAGAGGATGCGTTCGATTCGCATGTCCATCAAACAGTTCTTACCAATTGATACGTTCATAGTAAACTTCTAATAGTTCGAAGCTAGAGAAATGCTGAGTCGAACTTCTTTCACACTGCTGCTCATTGGCTTGATGGTATCCGAGGTGAATCGACAATTTCAGTCGATTTTTTTTTATATTTTTCATGTTTGATACTTTTCGTGGACAATTTGTGATAATTTTTTCTGAAATAATTTAAAAAATGAAAAGTGTCCTTTTTTCAAGTTCTTAAATTGAAAAAATTCTTCTATTCCAAAAAAATGTCCACCGGAAACTTTTGTTCTATTAAAAACAGTTGAAAACTGTTACTATTACATAATATATTAATCTCATCCGTTGTTCCCATTCCAAATGTATCACTTTGATTCTATTTCCACAGTTCTTAATCGGGGATGTGAGCGGAGCACCACCCGGGAGGAACGGTAAGATTGAAGTTTCATTTATTTATCCAGTTTAACTCTTAAATTCCATATACAAAGCACCTTGTAACGAAGAAATGGGAACCTCATTTATGCTAAACTTTTCATACATATTTTAGTAAACGAAAAAGACATGTATGGAGAGACAGCTCTGCATAGAGCTGCTTTTGCTGGTAATTTTGGACATTTTTTTTTCATAAAAAAGAATGTTTTGTTCAATCCGTTCCATTGATCTATGAATATTTTTCATATTCTTTCAGGCAAAGTGAAGGAAGCTGAAGACCTCATCACTGAAGGAGCCGACCCTAATATTGGAAATAATTTTAATGAGACAGCTCTGCATTATGCTGCTAAGAAAGGTAACGTTGAATACTTAAGTAACAATAATTATTGTTATTGAATAAAAGATTGACCTGATTTTATCCCATCGATCGGTGTTATTGTTCAGGTCACAAGAGTGTCGCCGAACTTCTCATCCGCAAAGGCGCCAATCTTGATAGTGAAACCATTACGAAAGAGACACCTCTTCATTGTGCTGCTGCCCATGGTAATTTTGAATACTCTTTTCGAGTACTATGCGCATTAGTATTGCTTAGCAGCAAGCATTGAATATGCTTCGGCCAATAGTCAAGTATATCGCGATGCAATACAGTTGACATCACAGCCATCGCAACCAACTCACACACAAAACCGACTAGCATTTATACACGGGTGTCAGAGTTGTGTGTGATGTCTACTACACTTCGTCAGTGCAGCCTTGACTTTTTTTTTCACTAAATGGGAAATTGGTTTAATTTTTTCATTGATCCGTATTATTTAAGGTCACGGAAGTGTCGCTGATGTGCTTCTCAAGAATGGAGCTAACGCTAATATTGGAAATGATTTGAATACCACAGCTCTTCATTTAGCTGCTGACTATGGTAATGTTGAATACTTGTTTTCATTAAATAAAAAATGGATTTAATCTTTTCCATCGATCTGAATTATTTTTCAGGTCACAAGAGTGTCGCCGAACTGCTCATCCACAAAGGAGCCAATGTTGATAGTGAAACTAATAGGAAAGAGACACCGCTTCATAATGCTGCTGCCCATGGTAATTTTGAATACTTTTTTCGAGTACTATGCGCTTTAGTATTGCTTAGCAGCAAGCATTGAATATGCTTCAGCCAATAGACAAGCATATCGAGATGCAATACAGTTGACATCACACACAACTGACGCGCACACAACTATCGTGCAAACAAACGTCACATGTGCACTGCGAACGAAAACGAACGAATTTTCGTATATGGGGGCGAACGCGAACGAAAACGCAAGTTGAATTTTTTTAGCGAACGAAAACGAAAGCCGAATCGGCCATTCGTTTACACCTTTAATGTGCAGCCATCGCAACCAACTCTCACACAAAACGACTAGCATATATACACGGGTGTCAGAGTTGTGTGTGATGTCTACTACAATTCGTCAGTGCAGCCTTGATCTGAATTATTTTTCAGGTCAGAAGAGTGTCGCCGAACTTCTCATCCACAAAGGAGCCAATGTTGATAGTGAAACTAATAGGAAACAGACACCTCTTCATTATGCTGCTGCCCATGGTAATTTTGAATACTTTTTTCGAGTTCTATGCGCATTAGTTTTGCTTAGCAGCAAGCATTGAATATGCTTCGGCCAATAGACAAGCATATCGCGATACAACTGCCGCGCACACAACTATCGTGCAAACAAACGTCGCATGTACAGCCATCGCAACCAACTCACACACAAAACCGACTAGCATACATACACGGGTGTCAGAGTTGTGTTTGATGTCTACTAAATGGGAAATTGGTTTAATTTGTTCATCGATCTGAATTATTTTTCAGGTCACAAGAGCGTCACTGAAGTTCTCAGCCGTAAAGCAAACGATCTTAATATTCAAAATAATTTGCATCAGACACCTCTTCATTTGGCATCTAGGCATGGTAAGGTTGACTAAATCAGATATCCCGTCGATCTCTTTCATTGATCCGTATTATTTTAGGTCACGGAGGTGTCGCTGATGTGCTTCTTAAGAATGGAGCTAACGCTGATATTGGAGATGATTCGAATACCAAAGCTCTTCATTATGCTGCTATATATGGTAATGTTGAATAAGTATTTTCACAAAATAAAGAATCGGTTTGATCTTTTTCATCGATCTAAATTATTTCTAAGGTCACGAAAATGTTGCTGAACTTCTCATCAACAAAGGCGCCAATATGGATGTCATTGATAATTTTAATCGTACACCTCTTCATTTTGCAGCTAGACATGGTAATGTTGAATAAGTATTTTCACAAAATAAAGAATCGGTTTGATCTTTTTCATCGACCTAAATTATTTCTAAGGTCATGAAAATGTTGCGGAACTTCTCATCAGAAAAGGAGCCAAAGTTGATGTTAGAAATCTAGCGAAGCAAACACCTCGTCAGTTAGCTGTTAGCCGTGGTACTGCTGACTATATTAAATACCGCTTTGATCTTTTTCATTGATCTGTATTATTTTTCAGGTCACGAAAATGTCGCTAGACTTTTTATCGGTAAAGAAAACCAAACTAATATCAACCCTTGTCCGCTGCTCTAACAAAGTCACGTATCTGTCGTTGCAGTGTCAATTTGACACTGTATATAAAATAGCATAGAAAATCGATAAATAATGATGAAATGCATGATGATTCTACTGAGAACCATTCGGTAGTTTATTATTTATTTAAAAAAAAAGATATATAAATATTTGTAAAAAAAATGGTTATGTTTTTGGTGTAAATGAATGTGGGGAGTATACAGAACGTAGCCTAACGTAAGCATAGTACGCAGCCACTCTGATTGTGACAGCTCACGCGTAACATGAGCAACTTCACTCTTATTGAATAAAGAATCAGTTTATAATGCAACACGAACCAAACAACATCTCTGTGTTTCATTATTTCCTACAACTTTGGGGGCTCAAACAGATTGAAAATTAAGTTGAAAAAAGTAGATAAAAGTTGATAAAAAGTCGATTGAAATTAAAATTAAATCGATTAAAGTTGAAATGGAATGAATTTTTCCAGAAAAAAGTCGAAAAGTCGGTCGCACACAATCAAGTAGCCGTAGCGGTACATTTTCAGTAGTCAGCTCATCGCATTTTTTTTTCATTTGTCGTCGAAGTAGTCGTTGTCATCAAAGTCGTTTGTCTTGCAAAATGCAGTTGAATAAAATGAAAAAAGCTGAACTGATCGAAGAGTGTCGTAAAAACGGACTTGGTACCGATGGTACAAAAGAAGAGTTGAAAACTAGATTGAAAGAGTTTTTGGGAGAAAATGCGTCATCACATTCATCGCGTTCAAATAGTGTTACGAGAGAAAATGTCGACGAATTGAAAAATTTACTCGCAAAAATGCAAGAAGAATTGGCGGCATTAAAAGAAAAAAATGCGCGTCAAAATCAAAGTCAAAGCAACCATGATGAAAGTGACGCTGCACACACAACGGAAGAGCAGCAGCAGCA